CCCAAAACCCCAAAACCCCAAAACCCCAAAACCCCAATAACTTTCAATAATATTGAAGTCATATAATAAAAATGAATCAAAAGTTTGCTCGAATGAGGTCCCAAAGTAAGTTGTCTTCCACCCCTTTTTCTTACTCTGCTAGGTAACCAGCTATTTGACCACAACAATTCGCCCAGTAGGAGGTAATCTTTCCCTAACTTCTCTAGTACTTCACCGGATGATATTAGGAACAAATACTTGAACAGATTAATAGAGAAGGATTTCCAAAAGAAAAAGACCATCGTAGAGGCTGAGTCCAGCCTCTACAACGATGTTTGTACTAAGGAATATCTTAAAAATATTAAGCACAACAAATTTGACACTAGTCAAATGTTGTCGTATGGCTATATTGATCAAAATTATCATCACATTTATTGCAAGCCTAAGAACAGTGAAAGAGCCGCTATCGCTAAGAAACTCAAAAAATATGATAAGAAGGTAAATCTCCATCCTATATTTTAGAACTCAAAGGTTTTCAAGAAACTGAAATAAGTTGATAAGTCAAGGTCAGCTCCACCCGAGCCGCAGGCGGCTCGGGCTGGACTCTGCAGCTCACCCTGAGACTAACAAGGTAAATCAGTTTGACCTGAAACTGTAGAATTCCAGCCCAGTTATAAGCCCGTTAAGAGAAAATCATAATATTAGAACTCTTGATAAGAGCAAAAGGAAATCTGAGCTAAGTTTGAGCGACAGCTGGAGTGGGTCTCCTGCTGTCTTTCGAACTCAGAGCAAGCCTCATCAAAGGAATGTAAAGATCACCAGGAAAGATGTGACTAATCGGCTACTGTAAATTTAATAAAACTGTAATAGTCTAGCATCTGATAAAACTAAAGATAGACCAGTTAAGAATCCGAGTAGTTTTAGAGAAGAGAGCAAAGGTTAGTACAGAACTTACCCTCTAGTCGCCTATAGCCCTTCCAAAATCGTTATTAAAAAGCATAAAGATGCGGTGAATAATGCTTATTTGGAGCAAGAAAAGATCTATGACTCTAAGCTAAGGTTGAAAAATAAGAGATATACGCATAAATAGGGAGGATTCTGTTAGACTTCCCAGTATTATATCAATGAAGCACACAAATAGGACTAAACCAAGCCAAGCTAGATCTAATTCTGTTGCGTTGTATGACAGATTATCTTCTCCAAGTACTTCTGGCTTCTAATTATTAGAGAAAAAAATTATGCTCAAACATCAATAGCATCGACTTAGATTCTCAGACATCTATTGCTCAAGAACAGGTATTCTCCTGAATAATCTTCCAGCAAGATAAACTGAAGGAGATCAGACATTTATGCTCTGAGGCAGAGCAGGTAGACAAGGAAGCCCTCAAGAATATCAATGAGAGGTGGAGAAAGAACAAGTATTTTGAAAAAGAGTTTCATACCAACCTAGGTAAGATACCACTTCTTGATTACAGACATCTTGGATTCTTGAAAAGACATCGATTTCAAAGAAAGATTCTCCAAAGCTTTCTATGACTACCAAAAGAGGAATAAGATTGACGAAAAGGTTAGTGCTTTAGAGGTCCTTGAGGAATACCAAAAGAATAAGATGAACCCTTATACCCATATTGCTAGGATAGAACGCCTCGAGAGCGTTTCGAAGTACCTCATGAGGTACTATCATAAAGATGATAAAGAGAAGGCTAAATTACGTTAAAGCTTAAATATGATTATTATATAACCTCCTACAGCTCATTCTTGGAGAACTTATTCAGCCTGTGGAGGTTCTTCCTTGACTGATATCTCTTCCTACGCAGGACTTTTGCTCCCTCATTTTGTATCTTGTATTCCTCCTGCACAGCATCACCTTTTTCAATGAGGAAGGAAGCATCTAGCTCTTTTTTGTCGAACTTTTCAAGATATTTAAGTCTTTTATAACCTAAATAATTAATTCGCGAACAAATACATTCGACAAGGTCTTCTTGCTTCTTAGTTTTTGGTTGGCTGATAATCCTGGCGGTCTTGGAATTATTTCCAATCTCAGGGAGAGCTAGACGAGAAGTGATTGGGACCAGGAATTTCGGCTTATTCTTGCTCTTCTTGTTACCCTAGATAATAATAAGATCAGGAATAAGTTATACCAATTTATTTAGCTTTCTCTATATGGTTTGATTTGAGTAATTGCCTATATTTCCTTCATTAGACCTGCTAATGCCCTTATAGGGCTCTTTAGAAATCTTTACGTACATGTAACTAAACCTTCGGGTCATAACCAAAGTCTTGAGTGCTTCAATTTGCTTAATTTCCTCTTCAATTTCTTGGTCAATTTCCACTGATCTCATTCTGTTTTTATTTTTCCTGAATTTCCATTTTTCCTAAAGACAATTATTGATGTCTGTTAGCACGGAAGGAAGACTTACTGTGCATAAGGAGCGTCTTACGCTCCTTACCGGTCATAAGCCAACTATTGGGCAAACTCTTGCGCATATTTTATGGTTATAAATTTTAATTCACCGATTCTGGCTAATTTTGGGGTTTTGGGGTTTTGGGGTTTTGGGGTTTTGGGG